TCTTCTTCTTTTCTTTTCTTTTTTCCTTCTCTTTTGACCTTCTTCTTTTCTTACTTCCTCCTTCCTTTTTACCCTAATACTATTCTCTCTTCCTCTCTTTTTCTCTTCTTCTTTCCTTTCCTTTTCTTTCCTTCTCACCATCCTTCCTACTTCCACTTCCACGCTTTTTCCCTTCAACTTTTTTTCCTTTTCTTCCCTACCTTTCTCTCCTTCTTCTTTTTTTTTATTCTTTTTCTCTCCTTCCTCCTCCTTCCTATCTTTTTCCTCTATTTCTTTCCCTTCCTTTATTCCTTTTCCTTTCTTTCTCTTTTTCCTTACCTTTCTTTTTTTCCTTTATTTTTTTCTTTTTACTTTCCTTTTCTTCTTTCTTCTTCTACTTCCTTCTTTCCTTGCAATTTCATTGTTTCTTTCTTTCCTTTCCCTTTCTTCTTTTTTTCTTTCTAAACCTTTCCTATCTTCTTTGTTTCTTTCCCCTTTCTTTCTTTCCCACTTTCTCTCACGTCGCCTTTCCTTTCTTTTCTTCCTCTTTCCTTTCTTCTTTCTTTCTCTTTTTCCTCTTGACTTCCTTTTCTTTCTGCTTTCCATACTCTGACTTTCTTGCTCCTTTCCTTCTTTCCTCTTTCCTTTTCCCTTTTTTTCTAACTTTCTTCCTTTTCCTCTTTCATCCACTCCATTCTTCCCCCACTCTCCATACCACTGACCTTTCTCTTTTCTTTCCTTCATCATTCCTTTTTTTCCCAACTTTCTTTCTTCTTTTCCTTTCTTTTTCTTCCCCCTTTCTTTCCTTGACCTTTCTCTTTTTTCTTTCTTTCTTCTTTCTCATTCCACTTTTCTTTCTTTCTTTTCTTTCTTTTTTTCTTTCTTTCTTTCTTTTCTTCCTTCCTTCCTTCCTTCCTTCCTTCCTTCCTTCCTTCCATATTTTTTACTTTCCTTTATTCTTCTCTCAGACTTATCTTTCTCACTCTCTCTATTGTTCTTTTGCACTTCTACTTCTTCCTTCCTTGCTTCCATCCTTTTTTTTTTTTCACCCATGTTTCCTTGCCTCTTTCTCTCATTCCTTGCTGCACTACTTTCCCTACTTCTTTATTTCTTTCCCCCTTTCCTACATTCCTATTTTCCTACCCTTCTTCCCCCTACACACAGGGGCGGACTGACCATTCGAGCACTCGGGGCCCGAGGGGCCCGGGGTCAGTAGGGGGCCCCATGAAATGCCCCTGGTACCTTTTTTTTACAGGCTTTTTTGGGTGTGCTTTGAGTGTGGGCAAGGACACAGGGGCCCTATGATCCCCTATTGCCCGGGGGCCCCATGACTTGTCAGTCCGCCACTGCCCCTCCTCTACTTCCATCCATTATTCCCTCTCTTCATATCCTTGACCTTCCTTTTTTCTCTCTTTCTTTCCTTTCTCATTCCCTTTTTCCCAGCCTTCTTCCTTTTCTACCTCCCAATTTCTTTCTTTTCTCCCTCCCTCTCCTCCTTCCAGGGGTGGACTGACCAATTGGAAACTTGGGCACTGCCCGAGGGCCCGAGGTCAGTAGGGGGCCCCATGAGATACCCCTGGTACCTTTTTCATAGGCTTTTTTGAGTTTGGGCAAGGACACAGGGGCCCCATGATCCCCTATTGCCCGGGGGCCCCATGAGTTTTCAGTCCGCCCCTGCCTCCTTCCATATTTTTTTAACTTCCCTCCTTTCTTCTCTCCAACTTTCTCCCTCTCTCCATTTCTCTTTCTCCCTCCTTATTTTCCGTCTTTTCCTTCTTTTTTTTCCCCTACTCCTTTTATTCCTTCGCTTTTTCCTTGGGCCCTACCCAACTCCCCCTTACCTATCTTCCATTCCTAGAAATGGTACGGAGAGCTACACATTAATTTAAGAGACCCCGCCTGGTAACCACACACACCTCTGCCATCCCAGTCCCGTTTTATGAGGGTTTCCCTGTCCCTGGCACCCGGTGACACCAACAGCGGCTGTGCGGAAGCTCTTATTTTATTTGTGAATAGTTCATCACAAGCCTCGCGTTGGCTGCAGATTAGAACTGTCATCCTTCTGACTGCATTACTTTTCAGACAGCCCGCCGCTTGGGAGCTGTCAGGGGACCCGAAATAATTCAGAAGAAAGTAAATAATTATGAAAAAGGGTTTAAATTGAAGGCGAGGAACATACAGCGCGTGACATGCGGCAGGAGCGCTCTTCTCCGTAACAAGATCCGGCTCTCGGGAGCTGACAGATAGTATTAAGACATCCTGACGTTCCTGTAATTATTTTCATTGGCCCGGCTCCCCTCTCTACATTTGCGCGTTTCCCAAGATGCTTATTTTTGGTTATTCGTCCTCATTATTTAGTGAATAGTTTTCCTTCTGCGTGATGCCTTTGTACGCCCACCAGTCTAATTTATTGAGATCTTTCTAAATTGGTTGATATTGCCGGGTAGGAAATGTCAGACCATGGTTAATGTTGATGTACGGAACAAATTTAGCCAGTGAAATGGCGCAGATTACATTTTCTACTTCTGCTGTACACATATTACGGGGTTTTTTTGTACATTTTTGTTAATGTTCCTTGGTGGGTTTTACATAAACAGAGCCGATGAGGCAAAGAGAAAATACAGCAAAGAAATAATGAAATACATATCAAGCCAAAACTTTACTTTTTAAACTTAGGGTGAGAAGCTCTGTAGGTTTTTTATCGCTGCAAAGCGAAACAAAACAAAAAGCGCACCAGTCTTGCGCATTACCTCAGTAACCAAATTTTATTGAATACAAAATGATACTCACAAACAGCGAAGTAATTCAAGCATGTACAGTGGGGCAAAAAAGTATTTAGTCCCCACCAATTGTACAAGTTCTCCCACTTACAAAGATGAGAGAGGCCTGTAATTGACATCATAGGTAGACCTCAACTATGAGAGACAAAATGAGAAAACAAATCCAGACAATCACATTGGCTGATCTGGAAAGAATTTATTTGCAAATTATGGTGGAAAATAAGTATTTGGTCCATATGAAAAGTTCATGTCAATACTTTGTTATATATCCTTTGTTGGCAATGACAGAGGTCAGACGTTTCCTGGAAGTCTTCACAAGGTTGGCACACACTGTTGCTGGTATGTTGGCCCATCCTCCATGCAGATCTCCTCTAAAGCAGTGATGTTTTGGGGCTGTCGCTGGGCAACACGGACTTTCAACTCCCTCCAAAGGTTTTCTATGAGGTTGAGATCTGGAGACTGGCTAGGCCACTCCAGGACCTTGAAATGCTTCTTACGAAGCCACTCCTTCGTTGCCCGGGCGGTATGTTTGGGATCATTGTCATGTTGGAAGACCCAGCCACGTTTCATCTTCAATGCCCTTGCTGATGGAAGGAGGTTTGCACTGAAAATCTCACGATACATGGCCCCATTCATTCTGTCCTGTACATGGATCAGTCATCCTGGTCCCTTTGCGGAGAACAACAGCCCCAAAGCATGATGTTGCCACCCCCATGCTTCACAGTAGGTATGGTGTTCTTTGGATGCAACTCACCATTCTCTCTCCTCCAAGCACGATGAGTTGTGTTTCTACCAAACAGTTCTATTTTGGTTTCATCTGACCATATGACATTCTCCCAATCCTCTTCTGGATCATCCAAATGCTCTCTAGCAAACTTCAGACGGGCCCGGACCTGTACTGGCTTAAACAGGGGGACACGTCTGGCACTGCAGGATCTGAGTCCCTGGCGGCATAGTGTGTTACTGATGGTAGCCTTTCATACGTTGGTCACAGCTCTCTGCAGGTCATTCACTAGGTCCCCCCGTGTGGTCCTGGGATTTTTGCTCACCATTCTTGTGATCATTTTGACCCCATGGGGTGAGATCTTGCGTGGAGCCCCAGATCGAAGGAGATTATCAGTGGTCTTGTATGTCTTCTATTTTCTAATTATTGCTCCCACAGTTGATTTGTTCACACCAAGCTGCTTGCCTATTGCAGATTCAGTCTTCCCAGACTGGTGCAGGTCTACAATTTTGTTTCTGGTGTCCTTCGACAGCTCTTTGGTCTTCACCATAGTGGAGTTTGGAGTGTGACTGTTTGAGGTTGTGGACAGGTGTCTTTTATACTGATAACAAGATCAAACAGGTGCCATTGATACAGGTAATGAGTGCAGGACAGAGGAGCCTCTTAAAGAAGAAGGTACAGGTCTGTGAGAGCCAGAAATCTTGCTTGTTTGTAGGTGACCAAATACTTATTTTCCACCATAATTTGCAAATAAATTCTTTCCAGATCAGCCAATGTGATTGTCTGGATTTGTTTTCTCATTTTGTCTCTCATAGTTGAGGTCTCCCTATGATGCCAATTACAGGCCTCTCTCATCTTTGTAAGTGGGAGAACTTGTACAATTGGTGGTGACTAAATACTTTTTTGCCCCACTGTAAGTCCTCAGAGGGACTTGAAAATTAAGCAGCCTGCGCTACTAGCTCTGATGAAGAAGGGATGCCCTTCGAAACGCGTCAGTGGTACTGAGTGTCTACTCCTATGATGGGACTCGCTCAGGCTGCCTCATTTTCAAGTTCCTCTGAGGACTTACATGCTTGAATTACTTCGCTGTCTGTGATTATCATTTTGTATTCAATAAAATTTGGTTACTGAGGAAATGCGCAAGGTTGGTGCACTTTTTGTTTTGTTTTTCAGTACTGGTCGGGCTTCCCCAGCCTTGTTTGGAGCTGCACAACCCTATATGCACCGGTGGTCGAATTTTTCCAGTTCTGGTTCCATCTATCCGCCACCTATCTGGGTTTCAGAGCGCAGGAGTTTGTTTCTGGTTTTTTTATTGCTGTTGGTGTCTCCACTGGGGCGAGTCAGCCTTATGCCAGCCATAGATGGTTCGATTCTCAGCCGTTCAGCAGGAACTGGCCAAGATTTGAACCATATGTAGGCAGGCTGATTGTACCCAAGTGATCAATCAATATTTAAAGCGGAGCTCCACCCAAAAGGGGAAGTTCTGCTTAAAGCCTTTGTCCTCCGCTCCTCATTAAGGATTGGAACCTTTAGGGAGTGGGTACCTGAATTTGACAAGTACCCGCTCCCACTTCCGCTGTGATCACCTAGGTGATCGGAAGCAGAAGTTGTCCCCCCCCCCCTCCCTCCCCGTAGTCTTCTGGGACACGTGACAGGTCCCAGAAGACTACGGGGCCATTCATGAAGTGCAGCTCTTCTCGCACATGTGCAGTGGGCTGAATGTACCCAAGTGATCGATTAATATTTAAAGTGGAACTCCACCCAAAAGGGGAAGTTCTGCTTTAAGCCTGTGTCCCCCTGGCTCCTCATTAAGGATTGGAACCTTTGGGGAGCGGGTACCCGAATTTGACAGGTACCCGCTCCTACATCCGCTGTGATCGCTTAGGTGATTGGAAGCGGAAGTTGTCCTCCCCCCCTCCCTCCCCGTAGTCTTCTGGGACACGTGACAGGTCCTAGAAGACTACGGGGCCATTCATGAAGTGCAGCTCTTCTCGCACATGTGCAGTGGGCTGAATGTACCCAAGTGATCGATTAATATTTAAAGTGGAACTCCACCCAAAAGGGGAAGTTCTGCTTTAAGCCTGTGTCCCCCCGGCTCCTCATTAAGGATTGGAACCTTTGGGGAGCGGGTACCCGAATTTGACAGGTACCCGCTCCTACATCCGCTGTGATCGCCTAGGTGATTGGAAGCGGAAGTTGTCCTCCCCCCTCCCTCCCCGTAGTCTTGTGGGACACAGACAGGTCCCAGAAGACTACAGGGCCATTCACAAAGTGCATCGCTTCTCGCACATGCTCAGTGAGCACCTGGCTGTGAAGCCGCAAGCAGTCACAGCCGGGTGCCCACACTGAAGATGCCAAGGCCAGGGACAGAAGACGACCGGTAACTAGCGGTGGTGAGGACACCGCTGGACCGAGGGACAGGTAAGTGGCTGTATGTTAAAAGGCAGCAGCTACAGTTTTTTGTAGCTGCTGACTTTTTTTTTTTAAGTGGAACTCCCCTTTAAGCTATAATTATGTAGCGAGTGAGATTAGCAATGTATAACAAAAAAACATATTTCTCCATTTACATGAAGGTAAGGTAATATATGCCAACACAGGGTTCCCCCTTATATCAGAGTCTGCAGGGTTCCCCTTTACAGTGAAAGGGGGAACTCTGCAGACCCTGCAAAAGGGAACAGTGTGTTCTGTGATGTAAAGGTAAAATCTGTGGAGTCTGATGTAAGGGGGAATGCTACAGACTCTGGTGTAGAGGGAAACTCAGTCACCAGAGCCCCAGCCACACACACAAATGCACACACAAGAGTCCACAGAGCTCCCCTTTACATCACAGTCCACAGAGTTCCTCCTATTACATCAGACTCCAGAGTTCCCCTTTACATCACAGTCCACAAAGTTCTCCCTTACATCAGAGTCTGTAGAGTTTCTCCCATTACATCAAACTCCAGAATTCCCCTTTACATCAGAGTCCACAGGGTTCCCCCTTACAGTCTAAGAGGGAACTCTGTTGACCCTGATGTAAAGGAAACACTCTGGACCAGGGGTGGACTGACAACTCCTGGGGCCCCCGGGCAATAGGGGATCATGGGGCCCCTGTGTCCTTGCCCAAACTCAAAAAAGCCTATGAAAAAGGTACCAGGGGCATCTCATGGGGCCCCCTACTGACCCCGGGCCCTCGGGCAGTGCCCGAGTTTACAAATGGTCAGTCTGCCCCTGCTCTGGACCCTGATTTAAAGGGAAATGCTTCAGACCGTCTATGGTGTAAATGGGAACTCTGATGTAAGGGGGTCTCTGGTCACCAGAGCCTCTCTCCCCCCACCTTCTTTACACAGAGCTCCCTTTTACACCAGAGTCTACAGGATTCCCCAGTACAGTGCAACTCTGCGAACCCTGATATAAAGGGGAACGATGCAGACCATGAAGTAGGGGAGAATGCTGCAGACTATAGTGTAAAGGGGAACTCTGATGTAAGGTGGTCTCTGGTCATCAGATCCCCCTCCCCTCCACAGAATTCTCATTTACATCAGAGTTCCCCTTTACATCAGGGTCTGCAAAGTTCCCCCTTGCACTTTAAGGGGGAAACCTGCAGATTCTGATTTAAAGGGGAACTCTAAGGACACTGATTTAAGGGGAACACTGGGGGACTCTGATGTGGGGGGGGACTCTGGAGACCACAAAGGGCAAAGGGGGGGGCTGTTACTGATTTAAGGGGTAACTTTTATATCTCTGTCCCCCCTTTTACATTAGTGACACCCCCAGAGAGACTGTATGGCCTGGCTGGAGTAATGTTACCCTGACCGCCTCCATAATGCTCGCTCGCTTGGCCTCAGGTGCAGCCCAGTCAAACAGTCCTCCAAGTGGCTCCTTCAGTCCTCCCAAGTCTACTTTCTGGCCCTTCCACCTCCACTAGTGTCATGTTTGCTCTAACTTGCTTCCACTTCCACACACATCTGTCCTGTTTACAGGTAACAATGGCAGCTCAGGTCAGGGAGCACTACAGGTGATGGGCAGTGGCTGCCGTGTCCAGGCTCCCTGTTGAGGAATTCATAACAGGCGCAATGTTGTTACCGTACGGCTGCCACCCCCCCCCCCCCCCCATCCGAGCCCGCCTGAGCCCTGCCCGAGCCACGCTGGCTTCTGAACTGTGCATGTGCAGTTCCGAAGTTGTCCAAAAGTTGTCCAAAAGCAATCCAAGCCCACTTGAGCCTTGCTGGAGCCTGGCCAGCTTTGGGACTGCGCATGCACAGTTCTGAAGTCGTCCGAAAGCCATTTTTTTTTCACAAACAGCTGCTGTCTCCAATTAACCCCCCTGGCGGTATTCCTGAGTGTAGCTCGGGGTAAAGTTTCAGCACCACAAGCGGTAACCCCCCCGAGCTACACTCGGGAATACACTGCAGCGTTGCTCCAGGATCTCTTCTGCACTTACCTTGTCCTGCGCTCCCGCGATGTCCCCCCTGCAGTGTCCCCGGCAATGTCCTCCGGCCGATGCCGGCATCTGTCTTCCGGGTTCCATCCCCTGCGACGTCGGGACGTATGGGGGACGGAACTGGCGGGAAATTTGAAAATGACAAAAAGTGACATTCACTAAATACACTAAAATCACATAGTATAACATTCCTGTATCAAACCATTTCACATACATGTTGTCCCGAGTGCTTTGTCCGGCGCCCTGCCTGCATTTTTACTGTTCTTTCTGCCTGGAAACTGAGAAACGTCCATGGCGTCCAAAAAGCGTCCCTTTAGGTCAGACGCGGTGTTAGACCGGCTAGAGAACAGCGATAGTAAATCAGAACCACTTGCAGAATTGAGTGATAATGATTGGTGGGGGAAATTCCTCATCAGACACTGAAAACGATTCTGCGACTTTGCTCAGCGATGTGCGAACTTGGCGCTCTATTTCACATTTCAGTGTTTTTGGTTTGATTATATTATTGAATTACATTTATTATTATTATATTATTATTTTTCAAGTTTTATCCTCCCCGGGATGTTTACTAGACTCTTGTTCAGACAGATTTCAGTGAGTTATTCCTAAAAATTACAGGCCTACAATAAAAAAATACATATTTCCATGCAAAACAATGTACCGCTTTGAGCACAGAAATACTGACATAATCAGACCGCTAGGGAGGTTAAAAGTTATGGACGGTTGGCCACACTGCCCTGAACTATGCTTATTATGGAACCTGGATGAAGAGAAGTACTTGCCAGAGGTTAAGGTGCCTGCAGGGGCGGACTGACCATTTGGAAACTCGGGAACTGCCCGAGGGCCCGGGGTCAGTAGGGGGCCCCATGAGATGCCCCTGGTACCTTTTTCATAGGTTTTTTTAAGTTTGGGCAAGGACACAGGGGCCCCATGATCCCCTATTGCCCGGGGGCCCCATGAGTTGTCAGTCCGCCCCTGGGTGCCTGTATCTAGATTGCTGTTTATTGCTCGCAAAAACAACATCAATGATTTCCTCTACTCCCCCCCCATTAGTGGCATAGCATATGCAAGTTAATATCCCCCCTACTTAAAGAAAAGCAGATTTAGCAATGCAGGGACAACCCAAACAAAATTCTTTAAATTACGGGGACCCTGGAAAGTTGTGTCAGGTTTGGCTCCCTTACCATTAATAACACAATCAGGGGCGGACTCTGATCATTTGGAAACTCAGGCACTGCCCGAGAGCCCGGGTCAGTAGGGGGCCCCATGAGATGCCCCTGGTACCTTTTTCATAGGCTTTTTTGAGTTTGGGCAAGGACAGAGGGGCCCCATGATCCCCTCTTGCCCGGGGGCCCCATGAGTTGTCAGTCCGCCCCTGAACACAATGGTTACTGCAATGCTGAGCCTGGGTATACCGTGAGTATTGATACACATGACATGTCATTCAAATATGTTTTTTGCTTGCTCGTTGAGTGGTTGTGGCAAGCTTGAGCTAATTAGCAGTGACACCTGAGCAATTATTTTTCTGTGCAGACAGATTGTTAACAGGTTGAGAATGTTCCCTGGTTGATTATGCGTCGAATGGGTACTCTCTGGCAGAAGCCTTCCACTGTGGTATTTGGTAACTAGGGAAAGTAATAGCAATATGCAGAAACAATTATAGTGCCTTATACGTCACTCTGCAAGATGTAAACAGTTGTTGCTGTTGTTTTCTACTATTATTATGTCTATTGTACTTAATAGTACTTAATAGGCTGATTCAGCCTCATCCCATGGCACCCCAATGTCTTTCAGGTCTGTTTTGAAGGTAGATCACCAGGTTGTCTGTGGTCTTCCTTGTTTTCTACTTTCTTCTAGGTGGTGGTATATGCCTTAGATGTCACCACCTAGAAGAAAATGGAAACAAGGAAGACCAATGACAGCCTGGTGGTCCACTTTCAAAATTGACCTGAAATGTATTGAGGTTCCATGGGATGAGGCTGAATCTGACAGGATTTGATGGAGCAATGGGGCAGTAAATGGGACCTCAATGGCTTTCAGGTCTGTTTTGAAGGTAGATCGCTAGGTTGTCTGTGGTCTTCCTCGTATTCACTTTTTTCTAGGTGGTGGTATATGCCTTAGATGTCACCATCTAGAAGAAAATGGAAACAAGGAAGACCAATGACAGCCTGGTGGTCCACTTTCAAAATTGACCTGAAATGTATTGAGGTTCCATGGGATGAGGCTGAATCTGACAGGATTTGATGGAGCAATGGGGCAGTAAATGGGACCTCAATGGCTTTCAGGTCTGTTTTGAAGGTAGATCGCCAGGTTGTCTGTGGTCTTCCTTGTTTCCACTTTCTTCTAGGTGGTGGCATATGCCTTAGATGTCACCATCTAGAAGAAAATGGAAACAAGGAAGACCAATGACAGCCTGGTGGTCCACTTTCAAAATTGACCTGAAATGTATTGAGGTTCCATGGGATGAGGCTGAATCTGACAGGATTTGATGGAGCAATGGGGCAGTAAATGGGACCTCAATGGCTTTCAGGTCTGTTTTGAAGGTAGATCATCCCAGGTTGTCTGTGGTCTTCCTTGTTTACACTTTCTTCTAGGTGGTGGCATATGCCTTAGATGTCACCACCTAGAAGAAAATGGAAACAAGGAAGACCAATGACAGCCTGGTGGTCCACTTTCAAAATTGACCTGAAATGTATTGAGGTTCCATGGGATGAGGCTGAATCTGACAGGATTTGATGGAGCAATGGGGCAGTAAATGGGACCTCAATGGCTTTCAGGTCTGTTTTGAAGGTAGATCGCCAGGTTGTCTGTGGTCTTCCTTGTTTTCACTTTCTTCTAGGTGGTGGTCTATGCCTTAGATGTCACCACCTAGAAGAAAATGGAAACAAGGAAGACCAATGACAGCCTGGTGGTCCACTTTCAAAATTGACCTGAAATGTAATGAGGTTCTATGGGATGAGGCTGAATCTGACAGGATTTG